CATAACCCGTGTCCATCAGCTTTATCTCCCCTCTTTAACTATCCATCCTTCATAAAGCACCTAAACTACGATCGCTTGTATTGTTCCATAGATCATTGGTGCAGGTCAGAAGGATATATCCCTGACACTATGGAAATATATGTGTTGCGAGCATTACTTAGACTAATGACTGATAAGGGAGCGATACTAAAGACCTTCAGGATGCACCCGAAACATTCAGGCGATTCTAGATATTGTTTGATGTATGAACCCGAAATCTGTGGATTGTTCGAGAAAGTAAAGTTCCTGACTCATTATGGATGCTGTTACGTGGATTCTACCATACTACCCGAATTCTTTAAGATCTGTAAAAATGTGGTATGTTATTATTATTTTCCCGAGATTTTTTAGAGGATGAAATAATAAAATAACTAAATTTTATCCGTGTACAGAAACATCTCCGTCTCTGCAACTGGAATACTCACAGTCCTCGCGCTCAACCTCAGATCCTAGGCACAGATATCATGCGTTTCATATCCAAACAGTCCTTGGTTTCTTTAAATCTAACCGAATTTCAAGGATTCACTCCATATATTCTCTCCAGTCTATCTTCTCAAACGAATTTCTTGAAATGCTTACATTTTGACAATGTCGATTTTGAGGGGTGCGATCCCTGGAATTGTATTGCTGAATGTAAAAATTTGGAGGTTTTTAAGATGGCATATTGCATTAATATTGATGCGGCGATGGTGGAGCCCGTATTGAAGGCAAGGTTTAGGAAGCTAACAAAGGTAGTGGTGTTAAATGTGGAATGTAAAGAGTTGATAATGTGGTCGAACAGGTTTAATAAGTTATAACGCCAACGTTTAATTTTAATCTCGCAATAGATAATTTAATGTTAATATAGATTTCATAATTTATGTGAGAATATACGCATATAGTCGGAGCTTTCTTAACTCCGCCTCAATAAATTAAATATCCATAACTTCCCCAAACCATTAAATGGCGTGATTAATAATAATATTGCATATATTATTTTTGTTGTTTGAATTTATTGATTTTTTGTTATATAATAAAAAATTTAAGATACAACGAAAAGATATTGCAATACTTTAATACAAATTATTATATGTAGAAAAGGTTAACTAGTATACAGTATTTTATATTCTTATATAATTATACACAGTATATTAATTTATTTGCAATTAAATAATACAAAATTAAAAAAATTTTTGATTATTTGCTTTTTTTTTAAAAAAGTTGGTGTTAATATATGACAGATTTATTATTATAATTAACTTAAATATTAAATATTTTATATGGTTTAATAATTTGAATAATTTATAAATTAAATTATAATCAAATTATTTTTATTTTTATTTTATAAATAGATAAAAGAATTATTTTTTTATTTATAAGTATATATACAGTAAGATGATGCAATTATAATAAGTTTAATGTTGGCTTATTTACAAAAATCGTATAACAAGTATTAAAAAAAATTTTTTTAACTAATATCAAGAAGTTATAAATATTTATTCAAAAAAATAAAATAAAATAAACAAATAAATAAATTATAATAATTATACAATTATTTTTATATAAATTAAAAGAATTTTTATAAAAGAATTTTTGTCAAGAAATGTTTTACTATTAAAAAAATTTAATTAAAATTTTTTTATAAATTTATATGTAAAAAAAATTATTTACTAAATTAAATTAAAATTAGACCTATGGGTCATAATACAGTAATTAGTGCTTTACAGATCAGATCACAAGATACTAATTCAATTCTATATAAAGGCAATTAAATAGAATTAATATAATATTTGACACTATAACTTGTTATATACTGTTTTTTATAAGAAGCTAATTTATATGCCAATTTAGTGAGTATTAAGATTGTGATCTTCAGAAAAAGTAGTATAATATGATGATCATTCAGTTGGTATTATAATGATCACCAGAAAAAAAAAGATAAGATATCTGATTTTATTTAATAATTACTTTCTTATAATATCTGATGTCTCTTCTTATCAAGATAGTTGTCTCTATAGAATTTTATTCATTATAATAGATACTACTCCCAGTTTCTCATTTTACTTTCCCTTATAATATTTATAATTAAAAATAAAATATTATATAATAATGTAGAATAAGGAATTTTGGAAGAGATTATTAATACAGATATTAACATGTGATATAAATATATAAGTTATGTTACTATATATAGAAATTGTAATCTACTTGGCATTTATGCCTCTAGATTTAATAGTTTAGGCTAACCAAATTTCCTTGAAATATCTACTAGAAAATTCATAAAATCATGCTTTACTTGATATTAAATATCCTTAGATTTGGTAGCTTATACCAATCAAGAATTATAGTTTTCAAAATATTTACTAGGAAGTACATATATATATATAAATTCTATCCATAGCTGCATGAGCTGAAAACATAATATGTTAAGATGATTTACAGAAGATTAATATATGTCAATCAAGAAACGTCTTGTAAAAACTCAAATATAGATCCATCTATAAGGTATAAGTTAATATCTAAATAAAAGAAGGTGAATTAGTTACAGTTAAACTTATAGTTAGTGTAATATTAGTATGTATAAGACTATAAGTATATGATTCAAATATTATAATTCAATAAAAACTATAACATTGATTGTCCATTTATTTTTTAAAAAAAAAAAACTAAATTAAATTAAAATTAAATTAAACTAATAAATTTTAATAAATTTTAATAATACTATATATTAATAAAAATCTATTAAGTAAATTTGTTTTTATATTTTTATTAATATATATTTAAATTTTTGTTTTATTTTATTAATTATTATTGAATTGCAAAAATTAAAAGTTTTATTTAAAGGCTTTTTAGACAAAATATATATTAAAAATATATATAAAATTTTTATTAAAGTTAAAATATAAAAAATAATATAAAAATTTTTTATTTTAATTTATAAAAAAATTTCTAAAATTATTAAATAATTATTAAAAAAATATTGAATACTTAATTATTTTTTTAATAAAATATATTTATTAATTAAATTATTATTTATTAAATTAATATAAAAAGTAAGTAGCTTAATATTATTTTTTTATAAATAAAAAAAAATTAAAAATTTTAATTTGCTATTTTTTTTTTTAATTATAATTTAATATTATAATTTTATTATATTTAAAAAATTTTTTATCTATTTTTTTTATTCTTTATATTTTTATATTAAAAATAAAAGATTTATAAAATTTTGAAATTTTGAAATTATAATTATTGTTTTTTTTTTTTTGCAAATAAGTATTAGATATATGATTTTTATTAAATATTTTGTTTATAATTATTATATTAACAATCTTTACATATGTAAATTAATTGTAGCCTACTGCAAATTTAAAGTGATACATATAGACTCTGAAAACCCTTGTAGAAAAAAAGAAGAGTAAATAATGGCTAGATACTAGTTATATTATAAACCAGTATGTGTGCTTATTAGAAAGTGAAAAATGAATAATTTGATGTAACTGGGAGAATCGGATTTTGAATATACTGATTCAGAAATCAGTTTGTTATTGTGGTACAGCTTGTGGATCTTTTCCATATTAGTGGTTTTGTTTCCAATATGATATAATCTTCTTGTGTCGATATTTTGGAGAAGGTAAGCTAATCACGGGTTTTTGGTCTAAATAGGAATTGAAAAAATAAACAAGAAAACCAATTCCATGAAAATTCTTTTCGAGTGTATATAAATAATGGTAATGTCAGGTATTCAGGATGGAAACACTTGTCTAGTATATACTTTTGATCAAATATTTCAGGCAGAATCAAGACTTAACCATACAAAACCTTATATATATGGCCTGTTATATTAAAGAATTTTCACCTTTAATAACCTACTGTATCTCTTCATACATTCTTAAACTTCAGTACAGAGACTAATGACTATTGAAAATACTCTTGACAGCTTTTGTATAAGAATCACAACTTCTAGTCAAAGTGATTCTATTATAACCTTTTCCAAGTTAAGCTCTTTTAAGCAAGGGAAGAGATTTTTGTCAAGAGGCCCACATCTCTTGACAAAAGTGGCTTCAGCTTGAGTAAGATATATATTTGACCAAAATAGAGGTATTGGTATTTTAAAGAGTTGATAAAATAGTTATGAAGTAAGGAAAAAAAGACCTAGAAAAAAAACCTTCAAAGAGAAGGAAAAACAATTTGTCAGCAGGGAAAGAAATTGAAAGAAGAGGAGAAGGAGTAAAGGAGAAAAAGAAAAAATTGCTCTCTTGCTCGTGATTATCAGACATATACAGAGTCTTGCTACAGAAAGGTCAGCCAGTTCTAAAACCTCATTTTTCCTTGTTTCAAACTTCTGTCATGCTGTCATATATCTTCCTACCTCAGGAGAAAGATAAAGACGGAGAACTAATAGCAGGGAGACACTTTGTATGGATAGACCAATGTGGTATGCTAAAGTTCATAAGGGTGTACTA